GGAGGTGCACTGGGAAGAGCGGCAAGCGTGCCAAGGGTGCACGGTTCGCAGAGGGACAAGGATGCAAAGCCAAGCAGAACTGACTTGGCCCCGGGTTCCGCCAAGCACACGAGGTCTGGGCCTAGCACTCTGGGTGGGCTTCGGGACAAGGGAGGAGGGACACGGCGGACACGCACTACTCCGGATTATCTCCATTCTGCGGCGCTGACGGAACCCTGGCCCCGCCCAGGCCGACGCTGGTCCACGCGCAGAGTTCCACAGCAAAGAGCAGCTACCCAGGTGTCGAAGGCGGCCACGAAACAGACGACCAGGACACTTCCGGAAACAGCGCGCGCCGCTGCGCCTGCGTCAGAGTTGCGTCACGGCAGGGGCGGGGCGGGGCGGGGCGGAGGCTGAGGGCCTCCGGGATGTCTAGGTGCAGGAAGTGGTGTTGCTCACAAAGTCCCACAAACACTGGCCCAACTGTTCTGACCCCTGGTTGACCAACAGATTTTTGTTGTTGTTTTGGTTTGGTTTTTGGTTAGGGTTTTTCCTATGCTCTGGCAGTTCTGGAACTCGCACTGTAGAACGAGGTGACCTCGAACTAACAGAGATCTGCCTGCCTGGCCTCCGGAATGAATGCTCGGATTAAAAGTGTGTGCCACCACCGCTTGACTTGATCCAGAGATATTTTTTTCCCTGGACTTGAAATTCCGGACCTGAAGAGGATGAAACAGGGGAATAGCAAATTTGAAGCCACTTAGGCAACAAAATGAGAAGCTCTCTAGAAGTAAAGAAGTAAAAATATATATGTGCGTGTATACATACATGTTGTGTGTATGTGTATACATACATGTTTTGTGTGTCCGCGAACACTTTGAGACTAAAAGTGTACATATGTTGTGTGTGTACATACATGTGTGCATATATCATACGTGTGTGTGTTATTTGTGAGTATATGGGGTAGTGTTGGAGAGGTATATGTGCATGTGTGTGGTGATTGCCAGTGGTAGGCAAAGGAGGACCTTGGTGTGATCTCTCATTGTCTACCTTCCTCGAGAGAGGGTCTCTCACTGAATCTGTTTCAACAGAAACGGCTGGCCAGACAGTTCCTAAGGTACCAGTCTCTGTCTCCGAACCCCGCGATGCAGGCCTTCAGGGCTGTTTCTGGCTTTTTACAAGGGAGCTGGGGATTTGTACTCAAGTCTTGTGGATTTGACAGCAACAACTTGGTTGTTGTCCAAGTAACCATCTCTCAGCCCCTTTTTACTGAGTTCCCATTCCTTACCTCTCTGGAAGGATGGGGATACCATGATGAAAAAGCATGGTGATTGTCCCATTGGACCAGAAAACTTGGGGTAGTGTAAGGACATGGAAAATTTTTAAAACTTTGCAAGATCAAGAGCTGGTTAGGACACTGGGTTCGAGTAAAAACCAAAAGATGTCCCAAGATGTTCCTAGCAGCTAACCCCACCTGTAGACACCCAGCTTTGTGGTATAGACAGAAGCAGACATAACTGCTTGGGGGGGGCATGCACAGAAGCAGAAGCAGCCACTTAAAGGAGGAAGGGGGTGTGCAGAAGTAGCCCCCATCCTTCATTTAGCAAGACCAACCCTCTTGATCCAAAATGAACCCCGCTTGTGTATTTTGCCTATATAAGTCAACCCCAAATGAGGAAAGGGAGCTCTCTCTACTGCGCTGCATTGTACGTAATGGATGAGCTCCCAGCCTGGCTGGAGAATAAGCCTTGCTTTTGCATTCGGGACTTGTTTGGATTCCGGTGGTCTCTCTGGAGGTCTCAACTTGGGCACAACAGTGGGAAGGAAAATCTGACTTGCCCTTTGGAAACATGGTAGTTGCTATGGAGATAAAGAGCAAGGAAGGTCCTGCAACAGAGAGTGATGAGGATGCAGGGTTCCTTAGCTAAGCAGAAAGGGCAAAGCTGGAGCCATTAGAGGTGAGTCATATTGGCTGGAGATCGTTGTTGATCCCCAATGCCTTTCACTGGACTGACACATAATAGATACCCTTATCAAACTGATGGAGTGAATAATTCCTACTCGGTCTTTCAAAAACCTCACTATAAAGTTGTCCAAAGGGCTATTTAAAACTTAGCTCCACCATTTAGTAACCTGGTAATGCAGCCAATCTTCCTAAACTTCAGTTTCCTGGGGTCATGTTGAAGGTCTATCATGTTGAATTTTAAAATATGTGAATTTTAAAGAATTATACAGGTAAGTAGTGGTGGCGCACGCCTTTAATCCCAGAACTTGGGAGGCAGGCAGACCCCCGGATTCGAGGACAGCCTGGTCTACATAGCAAGTTCCAACACAACCAATGGTACATAAAGAAACCCTGTAAAGAAAGAGAGAGAGAGAGAGAGAGAGAGAGAGAGAGAGAGAGAGAATTATACACAAATCAATCTGTATAAATAACTGATTGGTTTGTTGTTGAGTGGGAGAAATTTGAAACAGGGTCTTACAATGTGTTAAATGTAACTATAATAATAGCAATACAATAGAAATTGAGGTCAGCCCAGGTAAGGACGTTGACAAATAATACTCTTCATGAATGAGATTTTACTAGGAGTCAGAGTTTGAGACTGTGATCAGACCTCCTGGTAGGAGGGAGAACATTAGATATGGCAGGGGTGCTAAAGAGAAGGGAGGCTTGCCTGTAAGCCAGGAGAGGAGGAAGTAGAAAAATTGCTTAGTAGTTAAGAGTATCCATTGCTCCTGCAGAGGACCTGAATTCAGTTCCTAGCACCCATATCAGGAGACTCACAGTTGCCTGTCACTCCAGTTGGGGGCCTCTGGCCTTCATGGCACATGCATTCACTTGCACAATGCAACACAGTCACAGACACACACATACACATAATTAAAAATAATAAAAGTAGCCAGGCGGTAGTGGTGCACGCTTTAATCTCAGCACTCCGGAAGCAGAGGCAGGAGGACCTTTGTGAGTTTGAGGCCAGCCAGGTGTACAGAGCAAGTTCCAGGACAGCCAGGACTATTTCACAGAAAAAGTTTCAAAAAACCAAAAATAAATAAATAAATAAATAAATAAAAATATTATAAAACAAGACCTGGATAAGACCCTCAATAAGAGTGAATAAAAGCCAGGTGGTAGTGGCGCAGCCCTTTAATCCCAGCACTTGGAATGCAGAGACGGGCAGATCTCTTGTGAGTTCGAGGCCAGCCTGGTCTACAGAGTGAGTTCCAGGAGAAGTTTCTCAAGACAGGGTTTCTCTGTGTTGCTTTGGAGACTGTCCTGGAACTAGCTCTTGTAGACCAGGCTGGCCTCAAAATCACAGAGATCTGCCTGCCTCTGCTTCCTGAGTGCTGGGATTAAAGGTGTGTGCCACCACCTCCTGGCTTCCACTACAGCTTTCAAAAGCTACAAAGAAGTCCTGTCTCGAAAAAGCAAGGGGGGAAAAAAAACCAACCTGAGTGTGGAGGCACATGCTTTTCAAGCCTGTACCTTAGGCAGAAACAGACATATCTCTGAGTTCCAGACTGGCCAGGGTTATGTAGTGAGATTCTTGTTTGGGTTAAGGCTTTACCCCAGTCCCTGGTATCCATATACCTAAAGAGTCTGGAATGTTTGGGTGGAAGTTCCATCTCATGCCCCTCCCCTGTGAGTTGCTTCAGTCAGACTTCACCTCTGAGAAAGCCCGCCAAATGATGACCCCTCCCCAGAGGGTATTTAAACTGCCCCCCAGAGAACAAACGTATTCCAGTCTTCCCTCCCCATCTCCTTTCCTCTTTAAAGTGCTGGAAGGTATCCATAAACCTAGGCTTTTTCTAATTGTTTGATTTGGTTTGATTTGAATTCTTGCAGTGGCAGAGAGGCTTATTGGGTCACAAAAACTTTACAATACTGTCTCAAAAACAAAAAAAAAAGTGAAGATAAGAGATATAAAGACAGAACAGAAGAACGTGCATGATATCCTGAACGGTAGGGCAGTGGATGTTGCAATCTGCTGGCCTGGTTAGTCACCTGGGTACCCTGTCCCCTAAGAGATAAGCTCCTCCCCCTCCCAACTCTCCTCACCCCCCCTTCACTGAGGCAAGCAGATCTCCTTCCTGCCCCCCTTTCTCCCTCCCCTTCTGGAGAAGCAGCTGCTACTTCTCCCCAACCCTTCTCCCTTCTCCCCTTCCCCACCTCTCCTCTTCTCTTCCCTCGCCATAACCCACAATCTCTTTAAAAATTAAACCTGAGTGCTGGGTGGTTGGTGGCACATGCCTTTAATCCCAGCACTTGGGAGGCAGAGGGAGGCTGATCTCTGTGTGTTCAGAGCGAGTTCCATTTGGGGCTCCAAAGCTTTACAGAGAAACCCTGTCTTGAAAGGAAAAAAAAAAAATTACGCCTACAGGTCATTCGCTGCTATTTACTATCTAAGTTAGAAAACAGTCACCTTGACTTTTCTTCCCTGGTTAGTAAATTTATCTGTCTGTGAAAACAGGTTTTTGGGTGTGGTTTGTGCCTAATCCCTGGTCTGGGAGGGAACCCCCACTGGGAAGCGAGGTTTCCCTCCTCCTCTACACACCTTGCTCAAAACATTTGGGGAGGTTGATTTAAGAGGATCTCAGATTTACGACTAACCTGGGCTATAAAGGTTGTATCTCAAAAAGGAAAAAGTTAAAATGGTAAATTCTGTATCCCCTATTACAATGAATGCCTCCTGAGTGCTGGGATTAAAGACGTGCTTCCACGGCTCCGGGTTTATAAATAAAACTTTAAGCCCGGCCTCTGGTTTTCTGTGGAATGCGAAGATAAGATTTATTGCTGTGCAAACGGGACAGCGTGAGAATTATTTTAAAGTCTAACCAAAGCTAAATCATGTAAACACAGGAACACGTTCCGGGAGCGAGGCTTAATGGACAAACACCTCCCCACCCTCGGGCTGTGATTTCGGGGCTCAGACCACGCGGCAAATGGGCGGGCCGCACGAGTGCGCATGCGGCACACCGTTCCCTGGAGCGGCCGCTCTAGGCAGTGGGGAGGTCACCTGGGGTTGAGAGTCCGCGGCGTGAGAACGGCCTCTCCTCTATGGTCGAGGGAGCCGGCACGGCCCGCCCGTAGACGTAGGTTATTTCCGGAAGCGAAGCCTGCGGCTTTCTGCTTCCGCAGGGCTCCTAGCGGGTCCCGGGACTACTGGCGAGGTGAGCTTCAGCGCGGTGGAAATGGTGGTGGGGCTCTTGGCTTGGGATGGAACGGACCCCGCTCCCCGAGCCGCGCCGGCAGGGTGGCCCAGGCTCGCGGCCGTTTCCTCCCCCGGGCTGCCGGACTGTTGCCCGCGTCGGGGTCTGGGTCTAAGCCACTCGCCCACTTGGTGGCGGACAAGGAGGTGTTGTTTCCACACACCTGCGGGCTAGGGGTGCCTGCCACGTCCGCTAGATCCTTAGCCTTCCTGTCCCAAGGCAGACTGTTACTAATGGAAAACGCAGAAAAGGGAATATCAAACTCCAACGTCACACTGGACTGACCTGAGCTTCGCTCTTGTCATTCCCATACTCACGGCTCAGAAATGTTGTAGTAAGGGGAGTGTGTGTGTGTGTGTGTGTGTGTGTGTGTGTGTGTGTGAGAGAGAGGCGGGGGGGGGGGTGTTGGGCAAGGGGCGAACCACTAACTTTGGTAGAAAAGAGAAAGTGGGAGCCTTGTTGTGCTACCGAAGGGTCAACCCCAGGGAAGCCCTTTGGTTTGCCCTTGTTGGGTTGGCCCCAACGTCACACCAGGTGAGGCCAATGTGAAGGCGTTTTCCTCTATCTTTAGGCACACCCCAGAGCCAACACGAACTGCACGTGCCTACGCAGTTTTGTTTGTTCTTGTTACTGCTGTTTTGTAAGCAGTCTGGACGTGTCCTGACCCATGTTCGGTTATGCCCGTGTTTTTCTTCCACAAACCTGATGGGAAAACCGTACTCCTGGGCTGTTCAGACCTCCCCCCTTTTCCTTTTCTTTTTGTTTGTTAAATAAATAAATGCAGCCTTTATTTATTAAAATACAACTGAAATGCCACTACAGTTCCCCTTTTTGTCTAAAATAATAAAGAAAGCTATAACATAAGAAAACGACATACAATAAGAACAATGAGTGTATGCAATATATACAGGCAATAAATACATCAAAAAGTTCAGATATATGCTATCAACACTGTAGCCACCATTCAGTAAAATTAGTAATCTCATTAAAATCAGTCGTCCAGCAAACTTTTTACCTATCTGTGGACACAGTTTGGCATCTATTTCCAACAATCCTTTAACGTTGATAATAGTGTGGACTAGTTAATGGGAAATAATGAGGCTCAAAGGCAATCAGGTTGAAAAGCCTAGGTTAGCCTTTACTCTGAAAACTTATTTTTTTTGTTGTTGTTGTTGTTGTTTTATTGGTAGGTCGGTTTGTGGGAGGGGGGTATGTTTGGTTTTCGTTTTTATTTTGGGACAGGGTTTCTGTATGTAGTCTTGGCTGCCGAGGAACTCAGACAAGGCTGGCCCCGAACTCATGGAAATCCACCTGCCTCTGCCTTCAGATTAAAAGCACAAGCCATTATGCCTGACTTTTTTTGATTTTTGAGTTAGGATCCGTATAGTCCAGGCTGGCCAAGAATAACTCTTGGACTTTTGATTTTCCTGACTTTCTGAGACTGAATCGGATAACAGGAAATGCAGAAGGGAAACTGAAACTGTAAATTGACACCAGTGATAGAAGATAGAATTTCCCTCTTTTGATTCCCAATTTCATGACTCAGAAATGTGGATCTATGCAAAAGGCAATTTTCCCTGAGTGCTGAGATTATACACGTGTGCCATCATTGCCAGTTTATACACTGCTAATGTTAGAACCTAGTAAGCAAAGCAAACATTCTACCAGGAGATTAGGCAACACAGATAAACCTTATGTAGCTGCATAGAGACAGGAATGGCTGACTTGGAGTGGATTGATCATCAAAGCCCATTTGGATCTTGTTAGTGGATACTTTTCACTTAGAAATCGTAACAGATGGGAGTGTAATGATCCACATGAGGTAGCTGTTGACAACCATGTTAATTAAGCCAATTAAAAATTTTAAGTTCTTTTTAAATGATGGCCAGACAAAGAGTAGGGTTGTGCCTCTGAAAAATGTCTTGGTGCCCAAACTCAGGGATAGAGGTTTTTAAAGCAAAAACTACAAAGACCATAATTTACATCAAAGGTCAGAGTAACCTTAAATGTTCATTCCTGGCAGAGTATAATAGTTATTTTAGACATAACCTCAAATGAGTTGCCAAGGCAGATGTGACCAGAGAGGGAATATAGGTCTGAGAACAAACAGAACACGGACCAGACAGGATGGTGTACTTTAGTCATTTCAGGGGTGTATGAAAAAGAAAGAAAGCCCTCAGGGAGCAGAAGTTTATAGGTGGGGCTGCGTTGTGGTCTGAGAACAAAGTCCAAGCTCAGTAATAGCATTGTGGAACCTACTTGCGCTAGGAACCCTTCTGAGCGGTCTTTAATAGCCTCCTGAGGCTGTATTGTTATTATCCCCATTTTACAGGTGAGGCAAGTGAGGGAAGTGACTTGTCTGAGATCATGCTAAGATTGAACTTACTCAATCTGTCTCTGAAAATGTTAGTTTGACAATCAGATATGGTGGTTTAACAAGCCAAGGCCTGATGGCACGGACCTTTAATTCCAACTGCTTGGTAAACCGAGGCAGCAAGATTGTAAATTCAAAACCTTAGTTCTGTGGATTAAAGCTGAAGGCCACTGTCTCTGTAGTAGAGTGTCCGTTTAGTGTGTACAAAATCCTGGGTTCAGTTCCCAGTGCTAGCAAAGTTAGTTTGTTAGTTGGCCATGCAGATTCTTGAGTGAATTTCTAACTTCTGTGAGTTTTAATTTTTTTTGTAGTAGGGAATGTTTTGGCACTAACTGGCTTGAACTAAGGATGACCTTGAAATCCTGATTCTCCTGCCTCCTGCTGGGATTATATAGGCTTGTGTCTACAGATCCAGGTTAGTGGGGAAGGTTTTGAGCACTGGAGGAATTTGATGGGAATTTTGCTCTAAGAAAATTATTCAATCATTGCAAAAGAGATTTACAACAAGAAGCGTAAGTGGTATGTAAGTTTCACTTTAGCCGTACCTTGTCTAAGACATATTTAGGCATTTGCTTGTAGATTCCATGCAGTACTAAACTGCCAGGCTCATGATAATCTTGTGAAGCACTTGTTTCAGATACATAGTCAGGTCCTTATCTGTGGATTCCGTGTCTATAAATTCAACAAGAGGTAGGGAAATTTGGGGACTGGAGAATGTAATTCAATAGTATAATGAATCTAGCATGCACAGTGTTCCTGAGGTCAATCCCTGGCTGTTAGGAAAAAATAAGAGGGGCAGCTCCACAGCACAAAGAAATCCAGTTAGGCAGATCAAACCAAATCAAAATGCCCATTGTTTTATTAAGTGCAGTGCATAGCGGGGAGACAGGAAAGCGGGAGCACATGTAAACCCAAAACCACCTGTTTCTCCTCTGGGAACCCACTTAAAAACTCTGGCATGCTGGGATTTGGAGTCCAGAGCAATGCAACTGCCAGGCCAGTGTGCTGGGATGGATGCCAGGGGCTGGGGCTAAGCTCCAGACTTAACACGGGCCCTGCCAGAACATCCAGGAAGTTGCCACATGCTAAGCACGACACTGAATGCAGAGGAATGAAGCCATACACAGGCATGTACACCCTCTGGTAGCTTCCTGCCGGTTCACAGATCCGCAGGCTCTCCAGCGCTGTGGGTCTTGTTTGCCTGGTATTTTGCTCATGTTTACTTTGTAGTCAGGCCTACTGTGGTTGCTTGTATGCTGAGCACGTATAAGAGATAACTAAATGCCAGGCTGTGGTGGTGCCTGCCTTTAATCCCAGCATTTGAGATTAAACTCTGAACTGTGTGAGTTTAAGGCCAGTCTGGTCTATAGAACGAGTTCCAGGACAAGATTCAAAGCTACACAGAGAAATCCTGTCTTGAAAGAGCAGGAAAGGGGGGGGGGGGGACTGGAGAGATGGCTCAGCGTTTATAGAGCACTAGCTGTTCTTCCAGAGGTCCTGAGTTCAATTCCCACCATCCACATGGTGGCTACAACCATCCATAATAGGATCTGACACCCTCTTCTGGTGTGCAGGTGTACCTGCATAGCACTCATACATAAAATATAAATAAATAAAAATTTTAAAAAAGAGAGAGAGAGAGATAACTAAGGGAGTCAGGCGGAAGGCAGAGGCAAGCAGATTTACAGAGCGAGTTCCAGGACAGCAAAGGCTACAGAAAAGCAGCAATAGATGACTGAGGGATATAGGATACAGTGCATAGGCTGCAGGTAAACACTGTCCTTGCCCAGAAAGGATTTGTGGACTCAGATTGAGGCACCTCTGGGGAGTCCATTCTGGGTCAAGTTCACCGTGTTTCCCACAGCATTCTGTTGAATGTCAGATGGTTGTCACTTCAGTTTTCATCTGGAAATATCTAGAGCCGTGTTTTATAGCTGTTCTGATATAATATGTTTGACTGTGGCTAGACTCTGGAATTCAAGGAACCCAGGATTTGGAGAGACAAAAATATGGCTGGAATATTTTTTCTTTTCTTTTTGGTTTTTCGAGACAGGATTTCTCTGTGTAGTCGTCCTGGCTGTCCTGGAACTCACAGAGATCGCTGGCCTCTGCATTCCGAGTGCTGGGATTAAAGGCGTGAGCCACCACTGCCCGCGTGGGCAAGACTGGAATGTTACGCGCAAAGTATAGGAATGAGGTTGGTAGCTGGGTTTTCCTTTTCTGGGAGGTAGGTGCAACTCCTGCCACATTCGAATCATGTCATCAGTTCTGCCCTTGCCAGGGTTGAGAGTGAAGATGGAATGAGTTTGGCTTAACCAAAGAGGAGAGTCTTGAGTCACAGGTTTATTGTAGGTTTTGGGTTGTTGTGGGGGGTTTTAGTTTTGGTTTCTGTTTTTTTTTTTTTTTTTTTTTAATTGATATTCATTGAGCTCTACATTTTTCTCTGCTCTCCTCCCTGCCTCTCCCCTCCCCCCTTCAATCCTCCTTCAAGGTCCCCATGCTCCCAATTAAACCAAAAAAAAAAAAAATTTACTCAGGAGATCTTGTCTGTTTCTACTTCCCATGTAGATTAGATCTATGCATGTGT